TCATTCCCCTCAAAACCCCAAGTACTTTCTTTGCTACCCAGTGAAGTCTGAGAACAAAATACCAAGGTATTGTTAAGTGATGATTGGCAAATGTGCATCTTATCTACACATCAATGTGTTTCAACCTATTCTCCAATATCTCCCACCCAAAATTGCAATCTTCAGTTTTTTAAAGTTACATGTTTAATATAAAATACATGTAGTTACAAATATAAAATTACCTTAATAAGAAGGTCTAGGGCTGGAATTTTGCATTTAGCAGCTTTATCTTTTGTATAAACACTGGTACAAGTATTCTAGGTTTTAAAAGGAAACATACCAAAAAGATCAATAAGATCTAAAACTGTACCTCTGAGAGGAGCAATACCAATTTATGATATAACACAGTTTAATACTTAGCTATTAAAGTAATAATAAAGTATATAAAATACAGATTAAAAATTACTGGAAACTCATTGATACAATATGCAATAGTAATAATATCAACAATAACAAAAAAACACAAAGTAAATGGAGACCTCAGAATGATAAAAAAAAAAAAGAAAAGAAAAAGAAAAGTTATTCCTCCTTATATCTTCCCATAGAACTTGTAGCCATAGATCAAGAAAGAAAGAACAAAGGACAAAAAAGATAACTAAAGCAATTCAAAGAATGGCTGGGACCCTATAGGAAACACATGCAATGAAAGTAGCAGGAGCTTTGGACAGAGGCAACCTGGCTCCAAGACTGGGATGGGTTTCTTAACTTCTAAACCTCATTTGCAAAACTAAGAGATGACGAAGAGCTAAGAGAGATTTAGTAAAAAATAAATGACAAACTATGTATTAAAGAACTTTGTAAACTATAAGGTACTCTACAAATGTTACTCTTACTCTTAAGACACTATTTTTAAATATTAAGGAAGATTAGAAGTCAAAAGAAAATAAAATCAAAACCTATTTAAAAAGACTGATTATCATTAAAAACATTTTATATATTAGAGCTACTTATAATTTATAAAATAACTTTCTATAAATTACCTCAAACTGAATACATACTTCTTCATCAACACTTAGCATCAAAAACTAGAAGCAAAATTAGGACCAATAAAAACAACTTACCTCAACATGTGGCACTTGTTAAAGGTATAAATAAGTCTAAGAAAGAACAACTTAGTTTATGATTACCAGTTCCATAGTAAATTATGAGAAAACCTTGGGGAAGGCAGGTTGAACGAAAATGGGAGGCACAAGACAGGCAAACTTTTCAGGCTGTTGTCAAAGAGAACATAGGAACTACAGGAAATATGAATCTTACCCTTAGGGTGAATTCTTTAAAATTGTTTTTTAAAGTGTGTTGGGAAACACCCAGCCTGGTTTCAGGAGCTATAACCCTGCCAACAGGCTGGAGGGCCCCACGGCTGGAAATAATCTGGAGGCCTTGGAGAAACAGGCTCCTGAGGCAACTTGACCTGTTCCCCTGGGCAGGGGTGTAGCCCCTGCCCCTCTGCTTTGCCTTGGGATGGTCCTGGCCAATGACAAGTAAGACCCCTGGAGGAGGGGCAACCTAAGACAGACCTTGGCTGATAAGGGCAGCAGATAAGAAATTGGGGGACACGGAGAAAGGGCAAAGAGGCCCTCGCACCTCTCGGTTTGGCTTGGACCCGGCCAGAGCCTCATTATAGCCGAAAAGCAGGCAGTCTCCTTATCCCTCGTGGTTCCCTCCCCGTGCCTGGCCAACAGTGCAGGAAAAACAGCCCTACATCAGATCTGGCTGGTCCTGGGGTAATCAGGCCTAAAAGTAAATTCTTTAGAGTGAGCTGTTCCTCCCTCATATCTCTGGTCAACTCATGCTGTGAAAGACCTTCATATTATTTATACCCCTTACCCTTTATCATTAAGGCGCTTGCCCTTGTCAACATTCTCTTTTGTTTAGACTACTCTCCTCTCGGATCCATGTAAATCAGTAAATTTCTGTCACTTGGTTTCCTAAAGGTATTTGTTCTCTGTGAAACTTAACATGCTAATGTAACGAGTGTACATATGCATTCCTGTTGCCTACCCCACTGCTAAGCTTTTCAATAAAAGCCTTGGAACAAAGGGCGACCGGGTCTTCCCCACTAGGGGGATGTGCTACAGAGTGGGAGGGAAGTGCCCCATCTGCTCTCCAGACAAAAAGTTATCAAACTAGTTATAAAAGTTATCAAAATAGTTTTTGACATGTGCCTTGGCTTCTTAAATCTAAAAAAAATAAAAAGGAATAGCCTGCTTCATTTATAACACAATTAAGCAGAAATAAAGTCCCCAGTGAGAAAGGGAGAAAGAAAATAAAAATCCAAGTTTGACTTACACCATAAATTAAAAAGAATGTTGGTATATCGTGAGATGCTTTTTCCTCCTTACCTTAATATCAAGAGAATAAGGTGTGATCTTCTGGCCAATTTTTTCTAAGAAAATACATAAAAATTTTAGGACTTCTTCTCGACAATCACGGAACTATAATAAAAGAAATACACATTGTAGTAAATATGAGTAAGAATTAAGAGTCATTCCAACATAATAGCAAGAAAAATAAAATGAAAATTTTCAACTTACTTCATCAATGCTAAGTGATTTCCGGACAAATACAAGCAAACCGAACTCTTTGGAAAAAACTAAGGAAGTCTGTAATGCTGTACAAAAAAAGAAAAAAAAAAGTAAGACAGCTACCAAGTAGCAATTAATAAACCCACCCTAAAGAGAATGCATGTTTCTCAATTCAGCTTCTTAAGTGATAACATGCTAATCTAAGGCTGCAGTATTTAAACAAGAAAAACTAGAAATTCTAGATGATGTTCCACAGGGATGCATCGGAATGTCACACCTGTAAATCTGCTAACTCTGCAAGGCAAATGGAATTAAGGTTGCTAATGAACTGACCTTAAAATGGGGAGATTATTCTGGATTACCCAATGGGCCCAATGAGTCCTGCAAGTGGAGGGAGGAAGAGACTTGGGAAGACAGGAGAGCAGGAGAGATTCCAAACCTGAGTTACTTGACCCCCTATTACTATTGGCTTTGAAGATGGAGGATGGGGGCCTGTGATAGAAGAAATACGGGTCGCTTCTAAGAGCAAAGGTCAGCAAGAAAAAAGGTACCTCAGTCCTACAACTGCAAGGGCCTGTATTTTGCTAAAAACCTGAATGAAAAAGAAAATGAATTCTCCCCAAAAGCCTGCCTGATACCTTGGTTTTAGCTTGGTGAGACCTGTGTTGACTTCTGATTACAAAACTGTAATATTAACAAACTTGTGTTATTTTAAACCACTAAATTTAACAGCAGCAATAGAAAAGTAATATAATCCTCTAAAATCTCTCAAGCGGGAGGACATATATTGAATAGTCAGAGTAAACTTGGAACTGCATTACAAAGAAGTTACTTAAAGGTACAACAAAGAATTCTAACTTAGAAACCCTGAGGCTAGAAAGCATTTACATAACTGTTTTTAAGTTTTTCCCCATTAATATATCCTTGACAATATATAGGTACTATGTACCATCTTGCTTAAGGTGTTGCTTACATTATTTCTCCACCTATATTTAGCAACGACCCCTTAGGAAAAAAATCTCACCTACCTTTTAATTGAAAGGATACAACATTAAAGTTTGCGTATTTTTGTTTTTAAAAAGGAATATCGTAGTTTTCAAACAGTCAATTTTACAAGTACTAAAAGAGGAACTTTTACTATAAAAAAGTTCTCATCCAGGCGTTGCTAAAAAGTTAAAATAGCATCATGACTTTTCAGTTATATTTCTGCAGTACTTTTCAAAAGTAGACACAACAAATATAACTGTTTGGAATCTCGTGAGTTTAGGCCAGGCTAAGGTGAAAGATAATACTTTCCTCTTGCTCTTTCACCCCACTTAGAATAACAACGGTTGGCAAATTTAGGGCATTTTCACCAAACTGTTTTACAATCTGTCGTCTGGTGTTAAGGGAAAAAAGCAGTATGACAAATCATTTTTTACACACAGACACAAAAATTATGACGGCCCACGATCAAGTATCTGGAATTCAAAACACTTGGAGAAACGCTGGACTGAAACTCGAGCCCAACTTAAGCCGGAAATGCCCCACGCCGCGGCGCCGGCCGGTACGGTACCCACCCAGCACCGCGGGACTGGTGCTTAGCACGCACTCCTGACCCAGGCCCCGAATCAGCTGATGACTGGCCACCGCAGCGCTGCAACGGTCCGCAGCGGACAGGGACTCCTGCAGCTGGAGCAGGGAGCCCTGCACGCCCGACCTAGAATCAGCCATGAGGCCCAGCCAAGACCCGGTGAGCGCGCCCACCCTTCTGGGCCGGAACTGTCGCGCGGCCTGGAGGCGGGGCTCGCGGGCTCGGGGGCGGGGCTGGCGGGCGGGGCTGGCGGCGGCGAGCCCTTGTTGGGAGGGTCTTCCGCGTAGCAATAACCCGCTTAGACATGAACCAAGATTTTTGTCAGATTTGTGACTGTGTTGCACACAATACATTTAGCATCCATACATTGAAGCTTAGGGAGAAACAGAAATCCAACGGTGTGACGTCCGGAAAGAGACCAGGGGAGGGGGCAGTGGGTGAGTTGGAGTTCACTTACAAGAGGCAGCAAAAGAAAAGCTAGGGTCTTTGGCCGAGATCTACAGTTTGTCCCTTGATAAGGGGAGAAAATGGATTTGGATAAAAATGCTTAAGTGATAAGTATTTTCCCCTTGGCCAACGCTACAGCCACGATCAGTTCTGCGGAGAACCCGTGGTCTGGTCGATCTCTCCAGATTTCCCGCGAAACTGCGGTCCAATACTGGGTCAGACCATCTGAATGGAGGGGTCTGCCGAGCGAGGTCTGAGTCGGCTTTCTGCGTAGCGCCAAAGAAGGTCTTTCAGTCCCCCCTTTCGGTGGGCAGTGGAGTCTTCTGTAGGCGGAGCCATGCGAGAGCGCCACTATGATTGGTGGGACGCCGTCGAAGACGGTGACGACAGTGCCGCTGGCGCGAAACTTTGGGCCAGGCTCCGGGGTCTAGGGGTGCGCTCCACCAAGTGCTACTTGGGGCACTACGTGCGTCGGAAACAGCGGCTTTTTACCGGTAACTGCGGGCCACGGGAAGAGCACAGTGTCTGTGCGGCGTGGAGAAGGGAGCCGGAAGTGGGGACGGCGCGATCCTATACTGTTAGTTGCACAAGTACTCCGAGCATCATGTCGTCCCCGGCGTCTACCCCAAGCAGCCGCCGCAGCCGCCGCGGTAGAGCCATGCCCGCGCAGACGCGTAAGTCCTTGCCCGCGTTTCCGTCTTGCTAAGCACCCCGTGTTCCTCCGCCGCCCTATTCTTCCTTCTCTGCTTTCTGGCCTTTTCCCGCCACCTCTCATAAGCATTGGCCTGTGTCCAAGGCCTCTGTGCGCTGAGTCCAGATCCCAGGAGGAATCGATGTCCTGCGGGCGAGGAGCGTTTGCTCATTCCCTACTCGTTGCAGTGTGCAGACGTTTTTTGTGAGGCAGACAGTGCTGGACGCCCATTTCTGCCCTTCCCACTTTTCTTAATGTTGATTGGTTAAACATGTCCGTACTCATTTGCTCCGTTTCTGTTTGGTTTGTATTTGTTTAGCAATGAATCAAACTGTCCCAAGAGAAAGACAGATCCAGGAAGACCAACCATGAGAATTGATGGCTGTCTTTTCTCTCTTGTATGTCACAAGCTCGGAGTGAGGATACCAGGTCATCTCCATCTAGGAGACGTAGAGGCGAGGATTCTACCTCCACGGGAGAGCTTCAGCCATTGCCTACCTCACCTGGAGCTGACCTGCAGAGCCCTGCTGCACAGGACACATTATTTTCCAGCCCTCCTCAGATACATTCTTCAGGTGTGTTTCTGAATGTCTAAGTTACACTGTGGCTAACATACAGATGATGCTTCATTGTTAACCAAGAGTACGGAGATAATACATCGTAGGGCTTAGTGAAAAGAGAAAGAAACTTGGTACTTTTTATAGAGTATTTAGTAGTCCTCAGAATCCTAACCATCAGAGGTTACAATAAACATTCGGTTTGCTATTGCATTTAGATGACTTAGATCAATCAAAATAACATGCTATATTTTCCTGTTTGATATATTTCCAGAACTTCATTGTAAACTTTCAAGTTTTGTTTCTATAGCTATTCCTCTTGACTTTGATGTTAGTTCACCACTGACATATGGCACTCCCAGCTCTCGAGTAGAGGGAACCCCAAGGAGTGGCGTTAGGGGTACACCCCTGAGGCAGAGGCCTGACCTGGGGTCTGCACGGAAGGGCTTGCAGGTGGATTTGCAGTCCGATGGGGTGAGTACACAGTACAGTCTTCTGATAGCTTTATTTTGAGAACATGAAATGGTTCATTAACATGGTTCTGTCATATTTTTCTTTGTAGCCTGCAGCAGAAGATATAGTAGCAAGTGAGCAGTCTCTAGGCCAAAAACTTGTGATTTGGGGAACAGATGTAAATGTGGCAACATGCAAAGAAAATTTTCAGGTGAGCTGTGTGTGTGTTCAAATTCATACTCTTAGGGCTGAAAATGCTGGGAGAAAGTGTTTATAATCTGTATCTAAGTAGCTATAATACTTAAGGGTAGATTTTTAGGTGGCTTAGAATTGTTGAATGTTTTTCTAGTTTTTGATAGGGCTCTACTGTCTTCAAATAGTGACTAACTCATAACTTTGTGTTTTGAATACTTGAATGCATTAAGCTTAATATTTCTCTCTCCACATCAAGAGATTTCTTCAGCATTTTATCGACCCTCTGGCTAAAGAAGAAGAAAATATTGGTATAGATATTACTGAACCCCTGTACATGCAACGACTTGGGGAGGTAATTGTACACTTACTTACAAATTCAAAGTATGTATTTCAAAATAATTAGAATATAACTTGTTCATTTGATCTTACAGATTAATGTTACTGGGGAGCCATTTTTAAATGTAAACTGTGAACACATAAAGTCATTTGACAAAAATCTATACAGACAGCTCGTCTGCTACCCACAGGTAAAAATTTGGCTTTGATATTGATGAATTATAGTAGACATCTAGAATATCTTAAGTTTCTGAATAGCAGAATTTTCTTTGTGGTAACAGAGAGAATGTGCCTCCAATACAAAAGAACATCTCTAGAAAGCCATATTTAATCTCCTTTAAGATAGGCACTTTTTCACATTAACATATTGGGATGTATATTACTGTCAAGTGACATATTACAGTCTAATTGGCAGTGTATTGGTTACGTTGATTATAATTATAAGCATTGAAAGCAAGCAGACTTGGTTTTAAATCTTGGGGTTTTTTTCCTGCTTAATAGGTATATAACCTAAGTCAAGTTACTTATTCCCCTCTCCCACCAAAGGCTGTTTTCTTATCTGCAGAATGGGGAACAAGTATTAACAAATTTGAGTAAAGTAGTTATGATTTAATGTATTGCTATCATTTCACTGTGGAGAAAAAGACATGAAACTATACTCAAAATTCATTTTATTACTAATTAAAATCATAAAATATGACAGTACATACTGAAGGTACTTTAATATGTCATCACACTTAACCCCAATGAGAGCATGCATACGTAAGTTAGTTGAATGAGTTCAGTGTACCCAAGATTTATAAATGATGTATGTGTGACTATGTAGGGTAATACTTCTGGGTTATACCATGTTTTTGCTTTTATACTTTGCTAATATGAAATGCTTTATTTATATTTAACCCTAAGATAGGAATACAAACACAGCTTGGCATTCTCACTATTTTTTGCAGGAGGTTATCCCAACTTTTGACATGGCCGTCAACGAGATCTTTTTTGACCGTTATCCTGACTCAATCTTAGAACATCAGATTCAAGTAAGACCATTCAACGCATTGAAGACTAAGAATATGAGAAACCTGAATCCAGAAGGTAATGTCTTTAATAGCAGGAAAATACCTTACATAAATAAGCAAAACCTTATTTTTGAAGGAACTTTAAAAGAATTGGTAGTGATAGATTACCAGTTGATAAAATGATAATAGATTGAGTTATCCTATGCAGTTATGATCCCACCATACCTTTATTATAAAAGATTATGTAACTATACTGTATCTCAAGGTGAACTATCCAAATATTATAATTTTACACTTTCTCAGAATCACTGTAGAAAACAAGTACAAATATGATCCTGCCCTAGTGCTTAAGAAATAAATCTAGATGGGAAATAAAAGAAGAGGTAGAATAATTGAAGAATAGTGCAGGAGATGTCTCAGCCCAGGGCAAGGAGAGTGCTGGGCCCAAATGGGAAGAAATTGTGGTTAAATATTGGGAGTATAGTAAGGATTTGGAAAGCAGACATGAAGGAATTGTCTAGACAGCAGAAAGAAGCAATGTAGCCAGAAACGAGGATGCAAAACAGAGTTATGTGTGGACAATAAGTGATGCTGAAACAGGGAGTTTGTATGGAGGCTGGAAAGCTTAGGTTTAAAGAGCATTGTATTTTAACTTAAGGTTTTTATTCCAAAGGCAATAGGGAGCCTTTGAGGAGAAAGATTTTCCACTCTTGAGAAGTTTGTGGTGGGTCTAGCATGCAGTATGTCAAGGTTCAGTAAGGAGACTTAACAGTAGCTCAACTATGGGGCATTGGGGTCCTAAGCTAGACAGTTGCCATAGAAATAAAAAAAATAGGATAAACATATTTGCCATGTATGAAGATTGAGGTATAAAAGTTATTGAGAATTAATGAATACTGCTTTAGGTAAAAGTGTAAAAGACACAAATTTCTGTAAAAGAAAATAAGACAGCTAATAAGCAGTAAGTCCAATAAGACACTGAAGTCCAACATGAGCAAGTGTTGGACTTCACTGTGTATTGAAGAACTGTACTCTCTTTTTTTTTTTTTTTTTTTTTTCATTTTATGAAATTGGCTCCTTACATCAGATCTGTGGTAGGGATTTCTGGTGGGGGTTCTGGAGGAGGTAGAAATGTTGGGTAAACATACAGTATTTAAATTTCAGAGACAGAGCATTGTTACACCAAGACTTCCAGGTTAAGATTAGAGATTAAAAATTACCAGGTACTCAACTGATTTCAGAAATATTTAGCTTTCACATTTATGTTTGTAACTTACTAGGAAAGTTATATTTTAAAGAAAAGAAGGATTAGTGAGGAGAGAAGTAAAGATTTACAAATAGATGGAAGGAGGACAGGATCAAAGGAAAGACCTCGTGAATCAGCAATAAGTGCTTAAGGAATGCGAAGTTCTACAAGGCCAGCAGTAGCTAACTATAGGTCACATTTTGTTGACAACAAATTATAATATAACTTGTTTAGAACCAGCAATGGGAATTAGTTGAGGGAAAAGTTGTATGACAGGGAAGGTCGAAATTATGGAGCAAGAGTGTAAAATAGTTTATAGAGGGCCTTTCTTATATAGTGAAGATTAGCTAAGTAATATGCTTATTCTGTCAGGCACTATTCTTAATAGGCTTGTCTTATGTATGGTGGCTCTTAATCCTCAGCAGCTCTGAGGTATATACTGTCATTGCTCCCATTCCCTAAATGAAACACAGAGAGAAGCTAAGGGTGCTCCCGGTGTCACACAGATGCTTATTAGTCCAGGCTCTGTGGCTCTAGAACCCATGCTTTTCACATACATGGAGACAGCAGGAATTGCATGTGACACAGTGAGTGAGGTAGAAGGCCGTCGGACAAAACAGACATAAGCGTTGAGGTTATAATGTGAAACTGGAAAGTGGAGCCAGATAGGGGACAGCTGAGAAAAAAGGTGGTGGGAAGCTTATTGGAAAGGGGCCCTGAGGAAGAAAGGGCAAGAGATTCGCTGAGGTTGAGAGGAAGGCAGACTGGACACAGGAAGGGCACTCTAGGCCAGACGTGAAGGTACTCAATGAGATGTTTGTGCTCTGGCCACAGTGCCTACCTCTGACCCCAGCCATCACCAGGTATCTCTCCGCCTCCAGGTATGGTTCTTCTGGGTTTGACAGCAGACCCAGGTCTTCCTTGACAGGATTCCAGCTCAGGGAGATACCACATCGCACTGAGCCAAGGGCAGTGGCTAATGGACAAGCTGTCCTCTCCTCCTTGCAGACATTGACCAACTCATCACCATCAGTGGCATGGTAATCAGGACATCCCAGCTGATTCCAGAGATGCAGGAGGCCTTCTTCCAGTGCCAGGTGTGCGCCCATACAGCTCAGGTGGAGATTGACCGCGGCCGCATTGCTGAGCCCGGCGTGTGTGAGCGCTGCCACACCACCCACAGCATGGCGCTGATCCACAACCGTTCTGTGTTCTCCGACAAGCAGATGGTGCGTGGCCTTTCTGGGTGCTCTGGGTGGCCTCCCCTTTGGCATGTTTTGCTGTTGTTTTGCCTCAGCCTGGATATACAACAAGCCAAATATAATTTGTCCACTCATGAAGGCTTAAAACCTTGCTTCCTAAATGGAATTCAGCTACTTCATTGCTTCTCTGACAGTGTAGGTTTTGCTATAGGGTTGTGGGCAGCTAGATACTTGGAGCGTACTTGAGACTTCCACTTGGGGATGGTAGTGTCTCTGTTTTATTGCCAGTGAGCACCAGTTCATTATTATACACTTCACATTCTCATGGCCTAAAATATTTCATAAAAAGAAATAGAATGCATTCTTACACTATAGACATCTTAAACTTAATGATATTAACAGATCGAGTCAGCCCCTTTGATTTATTAAATCAGTTTCGATGGGAAATACTTATAAAATTTTGTTTAGTATTTCAGTTAAATACATAAACCATTTTAAGATTAGTAAAAATTATTTGGTTAAATTCTGTCATTTTGCAACTTTCAGTAGTAAAGAATAGGTTGAGGAATTTTTCTGAAGTTTTTCTCACTGATTTATTGTATTGGAAGTCGGACCTTTTTCCTCTTTAATCATGAAATTCTTAAGATGAAATTAAAATGACAAGTGGCAGGAAAGGCAGGAAAATTATTTACCGTGATTGTAATGGTGTAAAAAAGTATGCATAAAGACAAGGACTTAAGTTTTATTTTGTCACAGTGTTTAAATAATTTTAATGTTAAATAGAACATGTTCAAAATACTACAAAAGGTCGTTTCCCTTGTTGGGAGTCAGTAAGAAAAAATATTAGCAAATGTGAAAAATAATTACTAACCAGATAACTGAAAATTAAATTAAGATGTAAATTTTCATCTAACATTGCTATAAATTATTGCAGCAAATGTACCTCAACTCCTGCCAGGATGGTGCTAAGAGCTGAAGATAACAAAGGTGGAACATCTGCTCCCAAAGAGCTTTAGTGTAGTATTCTTAGAGTGCTACAAAGACTCCAAAACAAACTTAGAATAAAACCTAATGTCTTAGTCTCCAAGAGTTCGTGGCCCATCATCACCCACCCCACACCTTTGTGCCCGCAGACCTCACCGATGACATTGCCTCAACTATTTCCTTATTCCCAGATCACTGGGCAAGCTCAAGCCTTCCATGGCACCTTGGAACTTCACTGGTCTTTATGTTGAGAACATGTTCTTCCTCCCTAACATTCTTAAACCTCTGCTCAGAGGTTGCCCAAATTGTGAAAGGCCTTCCCTAGCCTTGCTTTATGTAAAACATCTCCATCTCCACTGCCTGTGCTGCTTACTCTTTTTCTGTCTCTTGCATTTGTTACTGTCAGATCTGTTAAATGCTCACATGTGTGTTTGTGTATTGTCTCTCCCCTCTCCACTCTGAGGGAAGAGACTTCATTCACTATGGAGTCCCCAACACCTAGAACAGTGCTCAACAGAGGCTGTTAGATGAGTGGATATAATTAGGTAAACTGGCAAGTACTTATGAGGTGCGTGCAGTGACTAGGAGGAGCACAGAGGTGCTTAATCCTGAACCTAAAAAGTGTTTGCTTTCCACCCAGGAAATCTGCTGGAAGTAATTTCTAAAAAAAAACAAAACAACAACAACAAAAAAATTAGAAATACAGACAAGCATCTATTCAAAGAGATAACCACTGTAGCCTTAAAAAAGGCAAAAAATAGTTACTTAAATTGCCACCTCCTGCTCCCTCTAGTAGGGGAATGTTTAAATAAATATCCTCACAAAACGTATGTTCATGTCACATGATAAAATTTAAAAAACTTAGTTATTCAGAGGTTAAAACAACAATATTTTAAAAGGTGAAAATGCTAGGCATCAGAAATGATTCTAAATGGTACAAGACTTGTGGTTTTTTTCCTCCATTATGCTTACCTCATTCCCTGAGTTTCTGTTTTCACTGCTTTTTTTTAAGATCAAGCTTCAAGAGTCTCCTGAAGATATGCCTGCAGGGCAGACACCTCACACTGTCATCCTGTTTGCTCACAACGATCTTGTTGACAAGGTTCAACCTGGGGACAGGGTGAATGTTACAGGTAAGAATGCAGGTTGTATTAATGGGATAAGTCTGTCTTGCTTTTAATGATAGTTTTTAGTCAATCCTTTGACTTGGTCATGAATTCTTTGGCATGGGACTTGGTCTTGCCTCCTCCAGCTGTCATTTGGGTCTTGAGAATATATGGTATACTGTTTTAATCACCATTTTTTAATCCTCGAGGCCATGATGATTGATTTTCGGGAGAGAGGAAGAGAGAGAGGTGAATATCCATCAGTTGCCTCCAGTGTGCACCCTGACGAGGGATCAAACCCACACCCTAGGTGTGTGCGCCGACTGGAGATTGAACCTGCAGCCTTTTGATGTTTGGGTTGACGCTCCAGCTGAGTACCCGGCCAGAGCTAATCACCTTCTTCTTAACCTAGCATGACAGAACGTTTCAGTGCATTGTTCGTGCAGTCACTTACTGCTTCTTTTTAAATTTAACTTTATTATATTTTTAGAGAGAGGGGAAGAAAGGGAGAGAAACATCAATTGGTTGCCTCTTGTATGCACCCTGACAGGGGACTGAACCCACAACGTAGGCATGCGCCCAGACCAGGAATCTGATTGGCAGCCTTTGGCTTTGCGGGACAACTCCCAGCCAACTAAGCCACACCAGTCAGGGCATTTGCTTCTTGGTATTGTATCCCAGAGCCATGTGTATATCTTAACTTTATAGTGTTGGTATGTTGAGAAGACAAGTCCGGTATTGGCAATTTTGACCTATGCTAGCAGCTCCAGGAAGTAGTTTCTCACCAAGTCTGAAATTTTAAATAATTTTCTACTTCCCAAATGCACAGCTGAGCTTTAAAATGTATTACAGGAAAGGATGGATCTGAGCACCCTGCTTCCATGCTAGGAGTACATTATGGTATTTTTAGAGATGAGGAAGCTGAGATTCAGAAGTGTAGAGCACTGTAGCTAAGATTTTACAGCAATTCGTGACATTAGGACTCATGCTCTGTTACTGTCAAGAGAGTCCTCTTTCCACTGCACCACATGAATATGCAAGTTTCATTTCTTGCTTCAGAGCAGTGGGGGCACTTGGTTTCTCACGGGTAGGGGGTAGCTGTGTGTGTTTATGGCGGTCATAGGTCTTCATTTAGAAGGCGGTGTGGGAACTGTGTCCAAGGAGTGGCCAAGCCCCTGGGGCAGCCCATCTGTTCTGTTCAGTGAGTCAGGGCTTCTCGTCCCGTGCCTTCCCTGGCATGAAGTTCAGTTGTCACTAGTGATCCTAAGTTATAAAAGTACACGTAGTAGTTAGAAATTTGAAAGAATGTGTCTTTAGTGAAAGAGATAAGCAATCCTAGTTCTGCCACCCTACTGCTCTGAAACCCTTGATATTATATTTTATTAACATATACGTTTATATTAATGAAAGTTTGTTTGTTAAATATGCGATCAAATATTTAACCCAATATTTTAAATTGGAATTGATGTGATGATACATGTGAAAGTATTTGGGGGAGAAGGGGTTGTGGAAAATGCTGTTTACATGTAAAATGAGTATTATCAGGGCTGTTCTGTGAAGATGAATCATTATAGGCATTAATAAAGATAATTAAGCTGCTTTAAACATAATAAACATAGTCATCCATTCCTCCTCTGTCTCGATGTGAAGAATAGTGTGTATTTTAAGACTGTTTTCATGTAAAATGATTTTTATGTTTTGAAAAGAATTAAACTGACCTGTCACATAGGCAAAGGACCGATGACCTGGGGCAGCAGGTTATGAAAGCTGTGAGAGAGATCAGATATTTTCTCCTCAGAAAACAGGAAGAAACTGAGTGTCCAGGGTTCAAGGATTCTAGTTTGAAATTTAAAAACAAAACAAAACATCAGACACATCAATTTAGGAAAATTTTGTTCTTGAAGAATAGGTGAGTTAGTATGATTGAAGGGTTGATTGTTCCTCTACTTCTTTTAACGTTCTTAAGTTGTATTCTTTAGAAAGCAGGGTCGGGCATGGCTATCACTTAGAAATATCTTATATCATGAACAAAATAGTCATTTTTCCTCTATCATATCTTCACCTTTGACTCAGTAGGTTGTCTTATTGTGTGTGAAATAATTCGTGAGTGATTTTAAAAGACTTGAGCTTTTAGGATTTTCTTTCTTTCCAAGCTTTTGGTGTAGTATTTTGGTAGTATTTTGTTCCAGTCAAATAATTGCTAAGCAGATTCTGTACACTCAGCTTAAGGGAAATGAAAATACTGTTTTTGAACTATTTATTGAACACAGCCATGAGCCAAGCATTGTTCTAAAAGCAAAGGAATTTCATAACAGCCTCAGTATGGTTATATGCAGTCTGGTTATCCTTGTATAGGTGCCCAAGGTCACAGCTAACAAGTAGTCACTGATAAGCACATTTTTAGGTCAGCCTTTCTCAGACACCTGTGTTCTTTCTGACTTACTCCTTTCACCTTCAGTGAAGAGCTTTACAGTGCCTCCCTGTGTCCTCCACCCTGGGAGGTCCATGAAGGCAGTGCACTTGGAAGCTTACCTCCCCCAGGGCCGCTGTCCGTTCTCAGCACTGCCTGTTGTCTGTGCTGGCATACCGAGCCCATAAGTGGAAAGTAAAAATGTGTCTCATGGTTTTGCCCCCAGGCATCTATCGAGCTGTGCCTATTCGAGTCAATCCAAGAGTGAGCAATGTGAAGTCTGTCTACAAGACGCACATTGATGTCATTCATTATCGAAAAACGGATGCAAAACGTCTGCATGGCCTTGATGAAGAAGCAGAGCAGAAACTTTTTTCAGAGAAGCGTGTGGAATTGCTTAAGGAACTTTCCAGAAAACCAGACATTTATGAGCGCCTTGCTTCAGCCTTGGCACCAAGCATTTATGAACATGAAGATATAAAGAAGGTAACAATGGATTTTTAATTTATGGTTGGGGTCTGTAGTTCTTTGGGATCAAATAGTGTAAACATCCATCCCTCCTCCCCTACCCCCAAAACCCCCACCATAAAGAATAAGAGCTGCTTCCTGTTTGGCAGAGCAAGAAGCTCACAACCTGACTTGGTTACATGTTGAGGAGAATCACAACACCATTGTCCATTTCTTTATCTCTGTACTAAACTTACATGTTACTACATATAAGAAGAGGCACACAGAGCCAGAAGAGGGATTTACATGGCCACCATTCTGGCATGATGGTGTGTGCTTATGTATAAATAGGTTAGTGATAACTTAAAGCAGTGTCACATACATTTTTATACCTTTATTTACATATCTTAATTGCAATTCATAAAGTAGAAAAGAATCTCAAACTATATGTCACTCTACAGTAAATGAATGTTTAGACATGTTTCTTTGTTTAGGGAATCTTGCTTCAGCTCTTTGGTGGAACAAGAAAGGATTTTAGTCACACAGGAAGGGGCAAGTTTCGTGCAGAGATCAACATTTTGCTGTGTGGTGACCCTGGGACCAGCAAGTCCCAGCTGCTGCAGTATGTGTACAACCTGGTCCCCAGGGGCCAGTACACATCCGGAAAGGGCTCCAGTGCAGTCGGTCTCACTGCGTATGTAATGAAAGACCCTGAGACAAGGCAGCTTGTCCTGCAGACTGGTGCCCTTGTCCTCAGTGACAATGGTATCTGTTGTATTGATGAATTTGACAAGATGAATGAAAGTACAAGATCGGTATTACATGAAGTCATGGAACAGCAGACTCTTTCTATTGCAAAGGTATGTCACGTTCATCCATAAACATGTACATGTTTAATATGTGTGGACACTTGAAATAAAGCATCTATAGAACTATGCAGTGTTACTTGGTTCAAAACTTTGGGAAACTGGTAAATATTTTTACTATTAGATTTCATCAAAATCTCTCAGTATTTTCTACAGGATCTTTCATTTATTTTTGTTGTATTAACCCATTAATGATTTTGTCCTAAATCTCATGCAAGGGGTTTAGTTTCTAAGAAAGATGCAGTTACAGCATATACATTTATCTAAAACTCAGTCCTTTACATGAATCCAAGGACAGGGTGTTGTCTATTGTCTCAAGTAGAACTGCTGAAGTCACCTTTACGAGGTGACATGGCTCTAGGTGACGTTGCAGACATGACAGAAGCCATGCCAGGCAAAGATGTTTCACACGGTTCCTGCTACAAGGTGACTTCTAACCGCACTGTTTTCTCTGATAGGCTGGGATTATTTGTCAGCTTAATGCACGCACCTCTATCCTGGCAGCAGCAAATCCTATTGAGTCTCAATGGAATCCTAAAAAAACTACCATTGAAAATATCCAGCTACCTCACACGTTGTTATCAAGGTATGAAAACATTTTTATATAACAGATGTTTGTTCTTTGCTTATTTGTAGAGTTTTCAGGATGAGATTGAGAACAGAAAATACTAATATTCAGCAACTGCTAATATCATAAACTCTTTAATGTAAAAGTTTTCAATTTGATTGGTCAGGGGTTTTCCTGGCAAGGAGTGTGTTTCTCTACTCAGCTGTGCGGTGTACCTTAACATGGAGATCCGAGTCAGTTGTGTTTTGAAGCATATAGAACACTTCACCTTGACATCTATTTTAGAAGCTCCTCATTCACTACTCCCTGTTCTGTGGAGAATTAGCTTCACATGATAGATGAGGTTCTGAAAAGTTAAATTTGTTAAAGCAGAATCATATAATCCTCACTTTTGCTCAACCCAGCACTCCAAGTATTGATGTATTCCATGAAGTTATATTAGTTTTTAATTTACTTTTTAACCAAATAGTTGTTCTTTCCTAAGACAATTGCATGTATTTTGATTCATATCTTCCAGTCTTCAAAACTAAAGTAACATTTCCCTCGGAGAAATCTTAACTCTGAATCAGCTTATTGATGACTAGCTATTTTCTGGGCAGACGTAAGGGCCAGGAGAACAGTCATCTGCTGGGACATAGCAGGGTGAATTTGAGTGCTCGGAAGGCTCTGTAGGCAGCCTGGACAGAAGACACCTGGGGAGAATCCTCGGCAGCGCTGCTCAAATGCATGTTCACTGTACATGCCTAGGTGACCCAAGAGCAAATTGTACTTTATTTTATTTAATGTATTTTTGTTATTTATTTTCATTATTACTATTTTTAGGAAGAGAGAAAAACATCGGTGTGTTGTTCCACTTATTGATGCATACATTGGTTGATATGTGCCCTGACTAGGGATCAAACCCGCAATCTTTGCATATCGAGACAACACTAACCAACTGAGCTACCCGGCTACGGCCCCAAAAGCAATTTTTAAATTATGCTTATAGGTGTGCTGGTGTCCCAACTAGGAAAACATTATTTTTACAATGTTTTCTCAGGTTTGATTTGATCTTCCTCATGCTGGACCCTCAGGATGAAGCCTATGACAGGCGTCTGGCTCATCACCTTGTTGCTCTTTACTACCAGAGTGAGGAACAAGTAGAGGAGGAGTTCATGGACATGGCAGTTCTAAAGGACTACATTGCTTATGCTCACAGCACGGTCATGCCTCGGCTGAGCCAGGAAGCTAGCCAAGCTCTCATCGAGGTAGCACGTGTCCATGTTTAAAGTCTGAAAAAATGTCTTGCTGAGCCTCTAACCAACAGCCTTATTGTCCTCTTAAAGGAGTAAATGTTTTACTAAGAAAAATATACTATTATCTTTAACTGTTTTCTCTCTTCTGTTGCAAAATGGCTTTTCCAAAGGTAAAAAGGGGGAAATGATTCATTTATATAGGTTGTACATAAACTTTTTACAAAATATAGTGAATTTATGATTGGAATATAGGAGCTGAACTAATAGGTGGTGCTACTTAGTAACTTTGTAACTCGGGACAAGTCATCCAGTTTCTCTGAGCTTCCTTTTTCTTGCTTCTAAAAATTAAATTGAATTAAAGTATCTTATATTCATTTTTCATTATCCTTTTATGTGTGCAGCAGTGCATGATGACACATTAGGTTATTCAAACGTAATAGGAGAGGATTTTGATGGGCTTTACATCCTAATGAAGCTTCCCAAAATGCTCCAGTGAAAGTTGCAGATGATGTTATTTTCCATTTATATCGTTCTTGAGGGTTGCTCAATAAGAAATAAAATTGTACCATCTATAGATAAGTTTAATACAACTTACTGTGTGACATCCTAACAATCCTTGGTGTGCCTTATTCAGTGGATCCTCAATTGGGGTATAAATCAGAGTCAGTGCCTGAGGAACTTTTTCAGGTGGGCAACCTTACTGTCCTCTGCTCTAATTGCAGCCTGCCCCTTACCCCAACATACGTGTCCTCTGAGTCCTGGGCTTCACACACCTTCACTGTCCATTCCCATTCTCGTCCTTTAAAGCTACATTCAGATACCAGCTTCTTGATGCAAAGCTTGATCTCACTTTTAATTCCCCTCAGTACCTGCACATGGCAGCCACGCAGAAGTTTCATTTATTTAATGGAATCCTAAATGTTCAAGGTTCAACCATAAAACTAAGGTATCGTTAACAAGGAATTTTGGGTTTTTTTCCTATCCACATTAGGCTTATGTAGACATGAGAAAGATTGGCAGTAGCCGAGGAATGGTTTCTGCATACCCTCGACAGCTGGAATCTTTGATTCGCTTAGCAGAAGCCCATGCTAAAGTACGGTTTTCAAACAAAGTTGAAGCAATTGATGTCGAAGAGGCAAAACGTTTGCATCGGGAAGCCCTAAAGCAGTCTGCCACTGACCCCCGGACTGGCATTGTGGACATATCAATTCTCACGACAGGTGTGTTATTTGCATTAAACATAAAAGCATGTGAAAATTATGTAACATGTAACTTTTGGGAGGGGGTTTGGTGGGGGTTTTTGGGGGGAGAGCATTCAGCTCTTACCCCCTAACCTTTATGGAAATTTGAAACATTTTACTTTCTTATAGAAGAAATATTTTCATTAATTTCTTTTAAATCAGGAATGAGTGCAACATCTCGTAAACGGAAAGAAGAGTTAGCTGAAGCATTGAAAAAACTTATTTTATCTAAAGGTAAAATGCCAGCTCTAAAATATCAGCAACTTTTTGAAGATATTCGTGGACAATCTGATGTAGTAAGTGTTCATATGTATTTTTTTTCTTTTATATAGTAGAGTTTTTTGTCTTAGTACTGCTTTCAAGATTTGTTTCTTAATTTTTTCCTTCACTTATTGTTTAAGTAGTAAACATTGATAAGGATGATGAAGAAAAGTAAGGTTGCCCATATACCCATCATTAAGAAATAACCATGACTAAAATTTTTGTTACCCTCCTTGATAACTTTTCTGTGTGTATATGTTCACATGTGGTCTTTTCTTTGAAAAATGAACATAGTCAATTATATTCATACTGTTTTGTAATTTGCTGTTTCCTTTTTAATTAACAAGTCAATAACAACATCTGAGCACGTAAATAGATTTCATGACATTAGTCATAATGGTTGGTAACATTCTTTTGCATATGTATTTCATCATTTACTTCACCAATTGTTGGACATTTAGGTTGTTTGCAGGTTTTGCTATTATAAATAGTGTTATAGTCACACAATTATATTTAATTAATAACTCAAATTTATTATGTAAATTTGTATTGGGGAGGAAATAGTCAGGTGCCCTTTTGTGAGGAATGCCCCTTATGTATTATTTGTGGCTGCACTGGCACACGGAAGCAGTTGATTGGTTACAACACATGCCAAGGCTATGGTATTTATCACCTGGCCCTTTATAGGAACTGTTTGCCACTCCTGAGTTAGAACATAAGAAATATATATAATCACAAAAAAAGGAAGACTGATAGTTAACATTGAAGTTATTGTATCTCTATGACAGATAAGGGAGCATTTAATGTGTAAAATACTTGTTTCTTTCCTTTTCCCCAAAGGCGATTACCAAAGATATGTTTGAAGAAGCATTGCGCGCCTTGGCTGATGATGATTTCTTGACAGTAACTGGGAAAACTGTTCGCTTACTCTGAAGTTCCTGTGAGCCGTGCTGTGTGTTCTGCTTGTCTGCACTGTCATTTGGCTCCATAGAGTTTTCTAACCTGGGTTTGATTTTTGTAGTGAAACGTGTTTTTTCATTTTTTAACATTTTAAGTAAAAATACTCTGCCAGTTTACATAGAGATTATTTTCTTGAAGTGACATTTCTTCAATACTAAGACTTTACTCTGTATTTATTTTCAGATAGCAGGATATCAGTCTTTTTTTTTTTTTTTTTTTTTAATCCTCACCTGAGGACATGTTCACTGAATTCTCCCCGCTCCCCGAGAGAGAGAAACAGAGAAACATCAGTCTGTAGCCTTCCCTACATGCCTCAACTGGGGATCACACCTGCAACCTAGGTATGTGCCATGACCAGGAAATGAACCCATAAGCTTTTGGTGTATGGGATGATGCTCCAACCAACTGAGCCTCCTGGCCAGAGCAGTATATCAATCTTTTGAAGATAAGCAGCCCAGGTCATGGTATTTATGCTAGACATTCTAATGGTAATCATCCATATGCTTGAGGTGTTTGTAGTATAAGACTTCTGGCTAGTGCATGTCATTCTGAGTGGGGTAATAAAAGACCATAGCCTTTGTTTTCTCGTAACAGCTCTCAAATATAATTACTTTTAGTGGCTTGTTCTCATGGTTATCAGAAGATCAAAAATGGATGGTTGAAAAGGAGTAGGGTCTAGGTTAACTTTTACTACTGTATCCTCATGTGTAAAGCTTTCTCCTAAATAAAAGACGAAATAATACTTGTTTACCTGGCATTATTTTTAATTAAGAAAAAAGCTTCAATATATACTACATTCATGGAAATTCATCATGATAAGTACTTTATAAATCCTTAAGGAAAGTATAATATAATGAATTCCATTTTATTCAAAAATTATTTAATCCTAGTCATTCTTATAAAACCATCATTATCTGAAATATATGGAAATACTACTGTAATAAATACAGTATTATTTATACAGTAAAGAAATGCATAATGTGTACTGTCTTGCCCATATTTTTGAGGGAAAAATAGGGGTGTGCCTTATACATGGGAATTTGTACTAAAACATGGGACTGCGTTGTACACAGCAAAACATGGTAATCTCTGAAACATTTAAGTCATTGAATCAGCTCTTTTTGTAACTTAGAATCAACATTCATTAATAAACTATCCATAGAAAATGATATTTTGTTTTAAGATTTTATTTATTTTTAAAGAGAGGAGAAGGGAGGAAGAAAGGAAATATCAGTTGGTTGTCTCTCATGCGCCCTCTACTGGGGACCTGGCCTGCAACCCAGGCATGCCCCTTGACCAGGAATCGAACTGGTGACCCTTTGGTTCACAGGCTAGCACTCAATCCACTGAGCCACACCAGGGCAATATATCTTAACTGAATACTTAAATAGCATTAAAGTGTTAATGTTGTAATCATGAGAGGTCATCTGAACAAAGTATTTCATTTTTATGAATCTTCACTGGCCTTGACAGGTTTACAAAAACATTATTTCACAGGAGGCAGTAATTAGGTTGCGGTGTCAAGGGATGCAAGGCTGACAGCCCACCAAGTGGCTTTACTAATGAGGTTTCCTCAGTGAACTCATACAGGGGATGCTTTTACATATAATCACCGGCTACTCTGTGGGATCAATTCCTTTTTATAGATGAAAGAGGCAAAAATTCTCAACTCGCCTGAAGATCCAAAAGCAAGAGATAAAGCTGAAATTAAAACAGTTGCATCTTCTGACTTTAAAATTTTATTTAACTGCCTTCTCAGGCTATTGCTCTGGTTTTTAACTCTTCATGCTTTTGAATACACTGTGTACACTTCCAAAATCATGCAAAATCATGTGGTGGGTACTTTATAAATGTTCATTGAGTAGAGAGTCAACCTGTTGAACTGTGTTCTTGTGACCACATGGTTTTCAGATTGGAAATAAATTTTATTCACAGCCTAGAGTGTCTCAAAGACCCCGGCACATGGGTTGTATTTGAGCTTGGCACTGACAAGCTCTGAATAGTACACATTGAAATTACACATTATATAGGGTTTTGTGAGGCTAGGTTACCTGAAAGTGATTACAAAACGTCCTATTGTCACAATGAGAAAGATTTCCCTTGACTTTCCCCCTAAATTTCATAATGGATAAGGTCACCAAAAATGTCCCTTTGCCCTTGCCAGTGTGGTTAAGCTGGAGTGTTGTCCCACAACCTTTTCGTTACAGGTTAGATTCCCAGTCGAGGCACAAATGCATATGGTGGGTTTGATCCCTGGTCTAGGCACATAAGGGGAACAGCCAATTGATTCTCTCACATCAATGTTTCTTTGGCTCTCCCTCTAAAAGCAGTAGAAAAATGTCCTTTCTTGCACTATTATAAAACAATTTTAAAAAATAGCCACCACTAGGTAGCTTGAAGTCAAGGTGTCTAAAGTTCTAGAGCTGGTTCCTTTGTAAAATATGGTTTTGTACAATTATGGAATTGAGGCAGACAATAAAAGGCAGTTTCTCCAAATTCAATTCTCAGCCTGCAGTAATGGTTAGAATGTTGGAAGCTAGCTGTGTATATGCACAGTACCTGAAACTGTTTAGTAGTACATACTCAAATACTTGTTGACTAAGATGCGCCCCCCCACCCTGAAGTTCATGCATTAGTAACACTTTTCTAAACCTTGTCATTCAATTCCAAGATTGAAAGTATATACAACTGCACATGAAGTGCATATATAGTTTGATTTTAAGGACATTTTGGTTGAAAATGTGGCTGTCCTGCTGCTGGCAAATTCCATTGTAGTCAATCTAAGAAGGTTTACAATTGTTAAGTACATGAAATAGAGTTTATTATTTTTTTCCCTATGAACAGTATAAACCTACTTTTGCCCAACCCTGTATTTGCGGAGAGAATTGACTCCTATGAAGGGAGAGTTCAGGGTATAAAAGTTATCAAAGGGCCTTCTTGAAATCAATGAAATCTCGGATGTAAAGTGAAAGAATAAGAGGATGTGTTCAAATTGGAGTTTTCCCTAAATTCTGATGGATGTTTGCTTACATGGTGTGCCCCATGCCTCAGTGGGAGCATACCACGTCCCTAAGGAGTGCTGGGCAGGAAAGATGGAGAACCACAGCCTTGGACTGAAGAGCATCTTCCTCATTTGTACAAGGTGGCTTATGGTGTAAAGATTGAAAGGGTTGTTGGCTGCCCAGGCTCAAATTCTGGCTCACCACTTACCTCTCAAAATCAAATGTTGATTGAGCATATGGTGAGTACTCAATATTGTTACCATAAACAAAGAGAATGTGTTTTTCTTAGAACAATATAATTTCAGCTTAATTCCCATTAATACATTTTTTAAAATTAATAATTCCATTTTAACTTTTCCTTCTGCTTTGACCTGAAAGATACCCAAACTTTCTAATTAGAATGGCTTTATTTGATTTACACAAATACACATGTGTCATTCTCCTTCCAGTATCCATCATAAGTGTAACCAACTCAATGCATAGAAGTAAAAAATTATCAAGAAAAATGAAGAACCTGAGAATTTAATAACTCCCTTTTAGTACACAATTAGGAAATAGTATCTTAAAGACAATGCTGCTTATTAAATCTGAGGTAATTTCTTAAAATGTCTCTAATTCAATTTTCAAAATTTTTGAAATTTTAGACTTACAAAAGTTGTATGGACACTATAAATAGTTCTCACACCTTCACTCAAATTCCTTTAATGTTAACATTTTCTAAAATCTGGCTTTTATCATAATTTTTAATCATTTGAGAGTAAGTTAGAATGCTTTACTACTAAATACTTCTGCAAAACTATGTATATATTAAAAACAACATTTATACAATCAGAACCATTTCATAACAAAAATTCTATTAAACTACAGACATTCAAATCTCATCAGTTGTCTCAATAATGTTCTTCATAGCAAAATGTATATATTTCTGTTTCTGGAATGCAAGTTGCATTTAGATGTGTGTCCCTAGTCTCTTTCAATCTGGAACACTTCTTAGCCATTTCTCATCTTTTAATGACCTTAACATTTTAAAGAGCACAGGCCAGTCTCTTCTTTTGTGAAATGTCCCTCCATTTGGTTTTGTCCGATGTCTTTATGATTCAATTCTGGATATCCATTTTTGGCAGGAATGCAGTGATTCTGTGTCCTCTGCATCATAGGAGGATCACTAAACCTGACCCTTCACTGAAGAGCTTAACCTTGATCACCTGTGTAAAGTGGCATCCATCAGGTTTCTTACTTTTAAATTACTTTATCCCCTGTGTAATTTTAAGTATCTTGTTGGGAGATAGTCTGGGGCTATGTAAACATTCCATTTCTCATCACATTTTGACAGTGAGCTACACACATGATTTTCCTTACTCCTAAACATTAAAATTGGTCTTTTAAAATAAAATCATATGACTTCAGTTTGGCAATGCCATACAAATTGGCATCACAGTTCTTAAAACCTTTCAAAAGTTGCCAACTCTAATTAAAATAAAATAGAAACTTGTCACTTCATAATTAGGTCACTACAGGATCTTACCCCTATCTGCTTCCAGGATCCCATGACTAATTCAAGACAGTCCAGTTGCACTAGACTTGGGGCGGGGGGGGGGGGGGCGGGGGTGTGTGTGTGTGTGTGTGTGTGTGTGTGTGTGTGTGTGTGTCCAAACTGACCCTATGCTTATGGCCTGTAACAGAAATCACTGACCTTCCCTCCCAACTTCCACTAGCCCAAGCCGCAGACCCTGGACCCCAGGCCTCATTATCAGCTGGAGGAGCTCTGTATGAACTTCTTTAGGGATTCAAATGGCTATGTGCGATCCTTTACTGAGAGAGCCCTTCTGTAACTGCTCTAACAAATAAAGTGAGTAGCTACCCTCATTGCTCTTCATTCCATCACACTGCTTTCTTTTTAGCACTTATCATGGTTGGAAGTTATACATTTATTTGTTTAATAAATAACTGTTTACTGTTATTTATTAAGTAAACAGTTTA